GCTGCATTTTGGGTTGATGCACATGCCTATCTGATGCACATGCTTATCAAACACGTTAGGCACACCAATTAAACATCCTTGCTCGTGGTCAGAATTACTGGAGGAACGGAATAGATATATGTGACGAGTTGCGAAGCTTGCAATAGAGATAGCAAACACGACTGCTTTTCGAGTTGTAACGAATTGATGCAGTATCGCTACCTTGCAGAACTATTTGCCTAAGTGACGAAGCAGCTACAGCCTCAACTTTCCGACTATCAACATGTGCCATGCGATCGTGCTGCGCGCGATAGAGGGCTGAACCCAGTGTACGCCGTGCCCTCCACCCACCAAGCAATGCCGTGGTAATGCAGCAGGCGATGAGATAGGCTGTGCTTGACCAGATCTATCATCGATCGTTCTGCATTACTCGCATTGCTGGTGCTAGCCCTATTCCACTACTCATAGCTTGCAGGCAAGAGTGGTGCTTCACCAGGAATGATAGTTCCGTTCTGGATGGCACCTCCATGAGACTGGGCCAAAGTGCCATAGACGGGATAGTACTTCTGCAACCAAGGAATGATCGTCTCAGCACCTGGAGTGTTGCGCCAATCTCGCATGAGATCACACCTGAAGAGGTCAGCGGGCGAGAATTCGATGGTCTTGGATTCACTTACACAATGCTGAACAGGCTGACGATCTGGACACCGGCTTGGGCCATTCGGTCGTTCGAAACATCTCTGATGAGAGAAGTTGTGGTTCCAGAGGCTTCAACGTTCGCCCTTTTTCAGAGTCAGTATATGCCTAAGAACGTATAAGCCACACTGTGACTGGGAGGATTGCCTACCAGACGGAGTATCCTTCTTCACGCAGCGAGAGTGCCAGGAAGGTCGTGCAAACGTCCGTGACGATCCCGCCAACTATGATCTGGCTTTTGTTCGCAGCCTACAATGATACAAGGTTAGTCCAAGGATAGCGCTGGTGGAATGCAGGTGCAGTAAGTGATACCCTGATAGCGTCTCTGAACTCTTCGTTGTCCCACGCATTGACCTCGCCTTGTCTCTGCACAAGCGGCACAAGAGTTCGGTTAGGATACATGTCCAAGATGGCCTGATAAAGCACAGTCAGAACGAGGCAGACGTGTTGTTATTGTGACGACGATGCATACCTTTGGGAGGGGGCCGTTCGGACCAGTCTGAGCGGAAGTTGTCATGATGACAGGGAGCTCTGGGATAACATTAATACCTGCGATAGGCGAATGACATGCTCGTCGTAGTTCTTACCTGGGAAGATCTCGCCGATTGCAGCGTGCGCGATCATGGAGTTGTCTACCAGAAGCAGTCAGTGAAAGTGACCGAGATGTTTCTGAACAGATCTGTCGTGATTCGAAGAAGCCTTCCAACGACTGTACGTACAATAAAGCGTAGGATCGAAATCTCTTGCGAGGCTGTAAAGTCCAACTTGCAAATCCAGAATCAAGAGCAGGGCATCGGACTTGTTGAGACGTTCGAAGGGGACAGCTGGGCTCCGTCAGCTGTGAGTCCGATAACAGGCGATCAACTCACAATCCGCGAACGATTGTGCCGCAAGGCTGGCAACAGCCATGATCGAGGAGAAAGTGAATTTCATGTTGGCGATTGTTGGTTTGAGGCTGATGGTGATTGACTCGAATGTAGAGAATGAATGATATTGCTGGGAATCAGCTTCACGTTATATATGCGTCTTGTGTCTCTGTACGCCCGAGCGGCTCTCCATCTTGAATGCGGCTGTACGTGTCCGGCCAGTAGATTGTGGATCGCATTGCCATCCTCGATGTTTCGCGAGTGGTGGGTTTGGGCGCAAGAGCCTGGCAGAAGGTGGCGGACGCCGATGCTGTCCAAGCTACGTCCAGCGCATTGCATCGCATTGCATACGAGCTTGAAAATTCATTTGACAGCCTGTCGCGTAGCACGACAATGCTCAGCTATTGGTAGCAGAGCTGACCGAAGTCCACCCCGAGCAACTAGACCAGTGTGCCTGTGGGGATTGTGCAAAACATTTCGATCTATTAGTCGATGTGTAGTAATGCATCGCAGTCGGAATGATGAATGGTCTTCGGAGCGCCGTGCATCGGAGGTTATTGCAGTTGGTCTTTAGTGGCTGCTGCATCAGCATTCAGTAAGCATACAGCTTTGCCAAGACATATGGCCGGGGTTAGCTGCATGGGATACGAGGGACAGCGGACATGCATGTCTCCACCAACAGCCTGGGATTTTCCGCTCAGCCACTTCTTTGACGCGAGAAGCTAATTTGACCATATTGACCTCCCAAAGCCCACGGACATTGTGAGGGCTAATTGATCTCTTTGAGTAGACGCAGTGGGCATTTGCAAGACCTTTCCAGGCGTGTGTTTAGCGCTTCGGGTACGCCACTTCGAGTCTAAGTCTCTCTAAGCGTCTGGATCGTATGTATCGTGTTTTCACATCTTGCCGCGTGCTCGCCGATTTACAAATTGGTCTGTCATCGGGTGGACAAGAGGACCGCTGGCCTGAAAAGTGGAGTCTTAGCCCTCAAATTGGCCCAGAAGTGCTAATTAGCATCCTGAGTAGATGGGCCAGAAGAGTTGCAAGGCGAAACCGGTCCGTGGCTGCCACTGCATAGCACGATCCTGCAGTCCGAAAGCGGTTGATGCTGCAATCCAGAGGGATGCAAAACTGTGGGGATGTCATCCTTCGTGTTCCTCATCGTCTTCATCATTCTCTTCAGACTCGTCCTCGTCCTGCGGGGCGGCATTTTTCCGCTGCCGGGGCTTTTTCGGAGCCGGTTCACCTTGTTGCGTTTGGCCTGCTGGCTTATCGGAGATTCCCAAGCTGCGCATGATCTTCTTGTCCAGCTCTTCTTCTTCTTCGTCGGTTTGTGGTGGCATGACCATTCGTGCTACTCCACGCACACCACTGAAAGCACGCGCGAACGATTAGCTTCCTATCCCAAAACATTGATGCGATACAGTGAGACAAGACTTACTCTTCACCAACCTCTAGTCTCCCTCTTGGTCCAACCACGAAGTATGTGTCGTCTTCGCCAGTTCCTGTGCTCTCTTTCAGCTTGTACAAGTATCCGTCTTTTTCAAGTCTCTTCATCAATTGCTCGTTCTTCTCATATCCGGCCAGCGTTGTCCGATCATCAATGCCCAGCTTGCGAAGAAAACGCTCCATCTTGGTGTCTGGTAGGGTGCCACCCGAGAGAAGGATCAAAGATACTAGCGTCGTGTAGATGCCGATGTACTGCGCTTCGGCATCACTGGTGGGCGCAGCAGCAGGCGCCAGGATTGCTGGATCTCGCAGCTCAGGAGGTAACACGCTCGCCAAGCTCCATGCTGACGTCGTCTTGGTTTGGCTCTGCGTTTCCTTCTTCTGAGCAGCTCTCCTCTGCTGCAAAGTAACTTTCTCCCGGGCGGACAGTTCGACCATCTCCATGCCAAAAACGGACCTGAGTTGGTATTGTGCTTGATCCCAGACAGCAGTAAAAAGCTTTCCTCGGCCACTTGCCGATCCAAGGACCTTCTCGTTGATGTCTTGTCGTCGTATCGGTCTTCGACCATATTCACATGCTAGGGCGAAGCGAACGAGCTTCTTGGCCAGCTCATCGTTGCTGCCATTTTGTGTTTGTCCATGATCCCCAGCAAAGGCACCATCTTCATCGTCATGGCCTTGCGTCCTGCGTCTTTGTGTTGCAGGTTCTGGTGAACGCTGCAGTGATGGTGAGGCCGACTCTTCCGCTTGTTCGGGCTGCTGCAATTCATCAGCATCGAAGCCGGATCACGCGTCGCGTTTTCCTACCGCACGTCTTTTCCTGCCGTTCACGAGCGGCATTGCATTAAAGTGGCCTGGAGGCACGACTCTGAGACCTTGTGAGCGTGTATGTTGCTTGAATCTTGTTCGACGACGTGAGAACAATCATCTTGTTCGCAAGAGCGTTCACAAGGCCTCCACCAGAAGACGCGCCGGCACACCCCTCACACGCGTTCCCGCTATGACGCCAAGACATTAGTTCACTTCTTCTTCACAACCTCGCTGCGCATGAACCATCATCACCACATAGCACAACCCAACACAAGCCCATCATGGCCGACAAACTGCGCACTCAGCAGCAGCTCGAATCGCTGCAGAACAAATACATCGGAACTGGACATGCAGACACAACGAAACACGAGTGGACGTCCAACATCGCGCGCGACAGCTACGCTTCCTACCAAGGACACCCTCCACTCTTGCACTACATGGCGATAGGAATGGGCATGCCGATGGAGAAGGTCAGGATGCAGTATATGGAGAAAATGGTATTACCCGTTGGGCCGGCGCCGGAGAGAGATGGTGGCAGTTGAGGAAGCGGCACAAAAGACAACAGTCTGAAGATTGCGACCAGCAACAAAGAATGCTCCAGAATGCGCGGGGCGTCGTACTACCAGCGGCAATCAACAAGCAATTGCGAAAGAGCCAGACGGCACAAGCGCCTCCCCTCAGTCGTCTACCACTCGTGCGGACTGCCGTCAGTTCAGCCGGCTTCAATAGTCCATATGTGCACACTACTGGATCAGATCACAGCTGGATATCATTGCCATGGAGGTTCAAGCGTACAGCACGTAATGCTTGCGCATTGCATCACTACTGTGCAGTCCTCAAACAAAACATGAGGATCGCTGCCGCTGAAGGCTGCAAAGCGAGATTAGGGAGCAGCAAGTACCAGCCGGAACAATCGTGCACCCAATTCAAGAATACTTCAGCTCAACTCAAAATGACCGGTGCAGCAAGTAGCTCTAATAAAATCCACGTCATGACATCGCACCCAGCGAACTTGAGGTCAACGATGTACACAGTGTCAGATTTGCCTGGTTTCAGTATTGATTATTTGAGTTGAGTAGGTTCCTGAAACATACAATGTATTTTGCGTATTCCGCAATCACTCGACGACTCCACTCGTGCTCTGAGTAGCCCATGAGGCGCGACTGCGCGATAATCTCCTGGCTCTGGCATCTGCAACCTATCCGTGCTGACAGTAATAATTGTCAAACTCGAATTTGATGCCTTGAAGCATAAACGTCGTGACTCGTCACTGAGCGATCGGGGGACAACCACAATGATCGCTCCGACTGTGCCGAGAGATGTCTTGATATCCTGGCGAACTTTCCGATTCTGTGGTACAGGTCCTTTCGGAACGTTGAACGACCGGTATTGCCTTGACGCTACACGCTGGTTCTTCAACTTTGGACGAATCATGTGCCGAGCGGCTTGGCAGCACCTAAACAGTGCCATCCAAGCAGGGCCGCGCAATCAACGTTGGTGGCCATTACAGAGAAGCATAGCCAGTGTGCAAAGGGCTGCGAGGTAAGATAACAGAATCGTCATCACGTAGAAGTGCTCGCTTCCATGCCCTCGTGGAAGAGCCGTCCCGCAACTTCTGGGCTGAGAATGTCTTTGCGGAACCGCTCTTCTTGTAACAGCTCCAGGGCTCGCAAGGTAGGGCCAGGATACCTCGACAGAATTAGCAGTAGTTTCGATTGCACAGATCGATTTCAGACTCACTGCAGGTATCGAAGGTAAGTCGGATCACGGAAGTACTGCAGATAATCTAGATATGCCACGAACTCTTCGTTCTCTAGCAGTTTCTTGTCCGCGAGGTACGACAGATATTGTGGGTTCGCCAGCATCTGCACAAACTGTGCGAGACGATTAGCTGGACTGTGCGAGATAGCGACGGAGATGATGGCGGTCGCGTGCAAGCCATGTGATCGGGCAGAATGCGCGGTCTGGGCGTCGAGCCTCGCTGGTGTGATTGGGATCACCCATGGTACAACTCACCTCGAGCTCCAGTGTGAATCTGTCGTGGCCGCCATGATGGATCCTGTATTCTGGCACGGCCGCCTCGCCACTGCTACGATCCGGTGCAGACATGACTGGCGTCTGCTAGAACAATGAGGATGTCTAGTCTGGCCCAGCGCGTGGACACGCGGTGCAGAATGAGGTTACGGTCTCGGCTGCTTGGGCGGAGCAGAAGTGGGAGATCCACCGTGCGATTGGACGCTAGCGAGCGAGTGGGCGTGGGCGTGAGCTAAAGCAGACCCTGAGATGAGCTTGTCCGTACAGAGAATGTGCAAAGCCAGAAGCGCACGTAATAACGGCAGGAATGCAGCGCGGCGCGGAGGAGAAGGGACACGGCGGAGCGGGGAGCAGCAGACGTGGTGGACGGGGGTGTGACACGCAATGTCAGCACTGCAATGGGCGCGGAGGCAGCGGTGTGCGCAGTGCAGCACGCTGGGCGCGCGGTAGTCAGAGGCCGAGGCTGGACTTGCTTCTTCGATTCACGCACTGCTGGTGGTCAGTGTTGACGCACGCAGGGGTCGCGAAGGTTGATGTTCTATGCTTGGCGTCGATGAGCGGGCGGCGCCCTGCAACGGAAGGCGAGAGTTTAAGGACACGGCGCTCCTCGCTGCAGACTGCAGACCTCCCTCCCTCGCACCAGCGTCCCTATGCTGCAGCGCGCGCCCGCCGACGAGACCGACATACATACAATAGCACCGGCATCCACCAGCCGAGCAGAACTACCTGACGACTAGCAACCGGAGCCGTTAGTGCGCCAATCGACTGCGCGCATTCCACCGGGCGGCGTGAGAGGAGAAGCAAAGCAAAGCCAGCCCAGCACGCGGTCACGCTGCACGCCACCGTCGTCCATATATTCACCCACGCGCACCCGCTCGCGCGCCGCCCATCCTCGTGCACCGCTGCCCCGTCACCCCCCAAGCAGACGTGCAAAGGACGCGAGCCGGCAGCATGGCATTCTTCGCCGAACCCGCGGCGGCTTCAGGTATGACGACTCCTGTTTCACGTTGCATGCACCCGCACGCTCGCTTGCTCCCCATGCTTGCAAACGCCCACCGCTGTCCTACTGACGCCCGTTCAGACCGCCAGCGCGCTCCCGTTGGCCTGTCATTAGACCTCCCTCCCACCAATCTGCCGTCGCCGTCCTTTTCGAGCAACAACCCCTTCAGAAGGGCCGCCTCGCCGTCACCACGACACCCGAGTTTCAATAGCAACACGCTGCCCGTCGTGCAGCGACCCGAACGTCCAATGTCGACCAATCCGTTTCTCGACGACGACGAGGTCGCTCGCCTGCGACAGCAACAAGCCCGCCCCGTGCAAGTGCCCGAGGACATCTTCGTGAGTGCTTCCGCGTTTGCTGTCGCGCGCGCCAATGCCCTGCAGCTTCCCTGTCACTCTGCGACCTTGTGTCATTCGTCCTGGCAGAATTGGCGTTTTCAAACCACCACGCCTGCTGGTCCTGCGACACAAGCTTCCCCTGATCATCACCCTTCAATGAGATGCAGCGCTTCCACAACTTCACTCATATGTTTGCTGACTTCCGCTCGCGGCAGAATGACCTCTCTCTCCTGGACAAACCACTATCAAATGGACAGAGTGGAGCAGGCGCATGTACGTGCCAACCATTGACAATTTGATTTGAAGCTTGCTCACCAGTGGACTAGACATCGTGAAGCGACCAGAAGATCGAGCTCCCCCTCGTCCCAGTGGCCCACCTCCCACGTACCGACCATCTGGCGAGCGCGATCGACCACCCCGACCAGTTCGTAGCCCCGACAAAAGCACATTTCCGCGCTCCCGACCACGACGAGCGTCGGAATCCTCAGTCATGGAAAAGGAACGCCGTCCACGCGTAGAGCGCGAAGAGCTTCGTGAGCGTACAGAGTCCTCCGAACGTCGACGGGCTGAGAGGCGAAAGGAGCGGGAGGAACGCCACAAGCGAGAGAAAGAGAGGGTTCGCAATGGCGAGAAACCACGACGCAAGCCTCAAGGATTGGACATTATTGACAAACTGGACGTGACCGGCATCTACGGTCAAGGCTGTGAGTCGAAATTTTGTGAGCAGAGGATGCATGAAGCTGACAGTCCACAGTGTTCCACCACGATGGTCCCTTTGACGCATGTAATCCGCATCGAAACTCCAAGAAGGACCGCCGTGCACCAATGCAGGCCTTTCCAGCCGATTCGGCAAATATGCAGCTCGGAGGCGCTGGACCGCTTCGATCTCAGCTTGATCTGGACAAATTCCACGGACGAGGAGAAGAAGGATTTTCAGAGTACGCCGCGACACGAAAGAAGACCGAGACGAACCAGTGGAAGACGGAGCCCGTTACCATCGATCCTCTTCAGCGTGGCGAGTTAGTACACGGTCAAGAGACGAATGGTTTGGGAACTTCTACATTCCTGGAAGGTGCACCAGCTAGTAGGAAAGACATGCAGCGCCGGGACTCGGAAGATCCAGAGCTTAACGTGGGTGGTCTGTCGCGAAAGAAGTCCATTGCGCAACGCTTCCGCGGCATGTCCGCTTCTCGACGTGATCGACCTGCTGATCTCCGGAGCCCAGAGGCACGATATCAGTATGGTGGACCAACAAGCCCACCCATTCCACAGACGAAAGCCATCAGCGCTGGAGGACCTGTGAAGGCCAAGTACAGCAAAGACAATGAGATCAACCCATTCGACAGCGACTACGAGGCGGCCTTCGACAAGAAAGGCACACAGATCCGAATTGCTGAACAGGAGAGACCACGAAACCGTTCACGAGCTGGAAGTAGCCCCAAGGCCCCGCCTCTCACTAGAACTCAGACGAGCGATGCCCGTCTACCCAGCAGAAACGGCAGAGTCAGCAGTGGCGACGAGGAGCGACCAAGTGGTGTCAGCGGCTTCTTGAACAGAATGCGATCGGTCAAGGGAGGACCGCGAAGGCCACGCGCGGCTGAGTAGCGAAGGGGACAATCGCCATATGTCTCCTTTTCAGCTGTTGTTTTTTAGGATATGGACCGGGGAGGGCGGCACCCGTCGGTCGTCGTTGAGCATGGGAGAGATAATTTGGACACCGGTACCGGTTTGACCTTGTCGCCAGAAGGAGGCGACTACCCTCAAATTGGGCATAATAATGAGTGTCTGATCGAGCCATCGCGCGAATTTGACCGTGCTGGCATCTGGCCTAACAGCACACTGCGCAACTGCAGTCAATCAATAGAGACAGTTCTTCACAAGCTCCATAGAAATTGATGAATGCCTTGAAGCCAACTCAATGCGAAGTGTGTGAAAATCTCACTCCGCGCCATCGATGCCGTGGGTATCTCGTAATGCGCAGATCTTGATGAACCACCTGCGCCCTTTTCCCAAATCTCGTGCTCAACGCCAAAAGAAGCAACCCAACAGGTAAAATTCAGTTCTCCCGCCACTCCTTCGTGCATTCTACACATCTGTAAAACCTCGTCATAGGCTCATCCGCACTTCGAATCTGCACCTGTCTGAAATACGCATTACGGCTCTCGCAGCCTTCTGCAGGACATTTCGCTATACGAACGCAGACAAATTAGCACAAATTCATTTTTTTCGATAGAACCGCATCTGCGAAAACCATGGACATGTCATGTCTTACCTTCTGTCTGATCGACATTCTTCCAACTATCCGCGCCCCCGAGAATGTCGCCCACGTCCTTGAGTTTCATCGTCTTTCGCTCGAAATAGCGACGATCGAGGACCATTTGGTAGGGACAGGTGCGGCATTCGAAGCGGTTTTTGCCGATGTTCATGCTGTCTTCGGGGGCGGTGTGGGAGGAGGGGATTTGCGAGATTACGAGCATGTTGCTGCAGGAGGGGCAGAAGAGGAGCATTTTGGGGGTTTCTTTCGTTGTGATTTTTGCTGGGGTCGTTCTTTGTGTGGTGCCAGCAGCTCGGAAAGGTGAGTTTTGCGAGATCTTGTTGTGCTTGTTTTGTCTGCTCGACTTGAAGTGCTTTCAATATTTCTTCTTGTGCGGGTTCAGAGAGGTCTGTAGCGAATTTTGCGAGTTTGTTGTTCGTTCACATGAAAGCGCGTTGGTGACAAGTGAATAGAAAAGCTTGTGGCGCATCGGAGATCGGATGTTGGCTGGTGGGCTGCCTTGCTGTCTCACATCACTTTAGGGACGTGTGGGAAGCAACTCCTGACACTTTCAACTCCCCCTCCACGTCGAAACACAATTTACCCACGCATACGCACACGCACAACTTCACGCTATCGTCCTCGCGGCCCAGTCATACTGAGATTGAGCTCCGAACAAGCCCACTACTCCAAAACCTCACCAACATGGCAGACGACGAAGGTGCCTCCCCCAAAGAACTTCTCCTCGAAGCATGCCGCCGTAACAACACAACCCTCCTCTCCGAAGTCTTCTCAGGCAGCTCCCTCAAATCTAACCCCGACGCAATCGCAAAATTCCTCAACACGACCACAGATGCTCTAGGCGCCAGCGCATTGCACGTCGCAGCAACATACGGTTCATACGAAGTATTAGACATGATCCTCGATCAAGAAGGCGTAGAAATCGATGGACAAGATCGACGAGAAGGCGATACACCATTACACAGTGCAGTGCGATTCAGCAATGGGTTGAGTAAAGAGGAGTGGGAGCATGGTAGAGCTGTGGTGGATATATTAGTTGATGCGGGGTGTGATCCAAGGTAAACATCAACCGGTCTGCTGAGGTTGAACGAAAGTATTGACATTGTGGCAGAATACGAAACAAGGCCAAACTGAAGCCTATAGATCTGGTCGATCCACGGAATACGGAACTGCGGACTGCGTTGCAGAAGGCTGAGCTCACAACGGTCGCGTCGAGTGATCTCGTCGATGAGGATGCAGACGATGGGCACGATGGGCCAGGGAGCGACAGTGATTAGAGCATTCACGCGATTTCGTGCCGTGAACCGGCATGAGCAAAGACAAAAGTGTCCTGCAATGAGGAGGCAATGAAGCCTGGAGCCTAGAGCTGGTCTCGAATGCGCTCCGAGTGAAAGGCGAAAGAACACTGCTTTTGCGAACACACCACAACACGTGGCCAGCAGTGTAAGCTTCCACATACTCAAGAAATAGGGCGGAGGCGTCATCATCGGCAGCTTCGCAGCCTTCGATATGCACTGGAGAAGTCAAGGTGGCTGATCTCTGCCACTGTCATGCTGATATCTTTGCGCCGCATCAAGCTATCACGGACGAGAGATATAGATTGTAGAAATCATGTCGCGCTTGTTTGTCAGTGAGTCGACCAGCATCCGATGCACTTGTGGGCAGCGCCTGCTCCTCTTCAATGTGACATGTAAATCTCACATGTCGCGAGCACGGAATGCTCAAGAGAATACTAGCAACAGGCCACAGCTTTCGGAGAACAAAGTGTGAGTTTTGAATGGAGACTCAGATCTGTGCACTGTTGTTTCGGAAGCTACAAGTCCGTAGACAAGGCTTCAACACCACTATACATAAACATTAACTAGGCTGGCGGGCTCTCTCTTTCTACATCTTCGTTCGAGCGTCCCCCGGAGCCATGTTTACCTCCTCTTCTTCATCTTCCTTTCTTTACATAACATCATCATGTACTCCAAATGTGTCCAACACATGGTATGCGCGTTGAGAAAAAGCGTCGAAAATGCCACCGCTGACCATGATTCGTGATGCGGCGACTAAAGATGTAAAGCAGTAGTGTGAACTGCCTCGACGCGCTCCGCTCGCTGGAAGAATGCTTTTTTGAGTCCCCCAATATACAGACAGCCTCTGTTTTCCTTTTGCTCATGGTCTCGTCATCAGCTTATAGGACTGTAGCAACTACTCGTCCCAGAGTTTCTTGCGGTTCCACCCGTTCCTGGTTCGCCATAGATCGAGTAGAACCGCTCTAGTCACATGTCCTCGGTGAAGCGACTGCTACGATTGGGCTCGATAATCGAAGATGGGGTCTCGCTGCGTCGGAGAACACTAGCTGACGCACCTGGCGGAGAGACGGATAACGTGCTCGCCTGGCCAGGCCGTGAAAAGTTTTGTGCGCTGCCGTAGTGGACTTGTGGCTGTCGTTCAGGGCCCGGCGACATCATCATGGTACCTGGGTCGCTGGTGCGTAAATGTCCTCGTTCCATGCTTTCAGGTGAAGCATTGCTAGGTGACAACTCTCCACTACCGTCGGAAAGACCTCCACTGTGTCTGTAAAATGATGATCCGGTCAGATGTCTTCCGCCTTCCGCTCCTGATGACATGGGATCTGGTGGCATGTTTGGCGGATGTGCGCTGATCATGCCTTCGCTCCACTGCGAGGGTAACTTGCGGCCTGAGATACGTGTAAAGCCACGCTCGTGCTGCTCGGAATCCGGATCCTGGTTTTGATGGCGAAATAGACTTGGCACGGCAGCAGCAAACGGAATGATACCAGCTCGTTCAGCCATGCCAGGTCCGCTCCGACTCTGTTCATCGTGTCCGCCGGTGGGACCATGCGATAAAGCTTGATGACCCGTCTGAACCTTCCTTCGATACCATCGAAAGAACAGCATAGCGATGAGGACAATCACCGCCAGGCCAGCGGCGCCGCCGACCACGCCTCCTGCTATCGTGCCAGCAGGCGGCGTGCTGCTGCCACCTCCGCCACTGTCGTTTGTGCTTGTGGATGTCGGGGCTGTCGTTGCAGGCGTCCCGTAAGTTTGTGCGCCTCCGGCACCTGAAACATTTCCGGTTGCCGTAGCTGTGGTTGAGTCTTGGGAGGTCTGGATTCGTGATTGGGAGTCGGAGTACCCTGGTACAGTGAACACCTCGCCTGCCAGTGTTGTCGTGAATGGCGCTCTCGACCGCGTGATGGTTGATACCTCGCCGCCATCGAGTGTTGCGTAGAACAAGGTACTGGTTGATGATCTGGTGACGGTAATTGTCGTCTTAGAAGTCGCCGTGGCATTGTTGCCGATTACCATTACAGCTGTGGTGTGTTAGCGTGGATCTCGAGCAAATCTATTGTATCATCAATACCTGAGGTAGTAAGGATAGGGCTAGCGCTGGTGGAAGAATTCAGGCCTACTGGTGCGGACGTTGATAAGTTGCTGTTCGGACTTGGGTAAGGGCTTGGTAACGAACTGCTCGACGGGACATTGGTAAATGTCGTAGCTCCCGGTACGCTGGGTAGCGTGGGCAGAGTGGGAAGGGACGGCAGCGCTGGCGGGGTATAGGTCAAGGTAGTAAAGGCGTCCGTAAAGATCTGTATGCTGAGAGAAACGACAGGCGTTGGAAGGCCATTGGGCACTTCATTGGTGTCCTGACGAGGATATACAGGTGCGAGGTCGCCCTCGTCGACTGCAGCCCTCTTCATGTCATGATGGATGACATCTTCGGTAGGCACTGGATGGTCTTGAACCCGAGGAAGATCCGGGGAAGTACATGGCTGCTGCACGGACTCGGAGGAATAATATGATGGTGGTAATGTTGCATCTGGAGCAGTGCTGTTGTTCCTGTGCATGGTCTCTGAGCTGGAGCTGGAGAGCTTCCGTCGCTTCGCCGGAGGAGCCATGGCCTCCGCCATTCAGGCCTCCGTGGACCAGCACCTGTGCTATCCCAGCACGACGCTACCACCGCCTACAGCGCGGAGGCTCAGGACGTGGTTGCATTCGAGTCAGGCGGGATCGTTGGCGGGTTTCCAGAATCCGAGTGATATGTTCCGCGGCAAAAGACCTGCTATGCTGCTGGCACGCGCGCTGGAGGGGAGGTCGCCCGCGCAGCAGACGACGGATGGGCTGGCGAGGGAGCGGACGACTTCGCAGAAGGTCTGAACGAGTGGGCAGGTGGTGGTAACGAGCGGACGCCGGACCAAGGCCGGCTAGGAGTGGTGGTGGACGTCGAGAGGCGTGTGGGCTGGCAGCGTGCAGGTCGACTGCACGGCGGCGCAGCGATTCGAACGACAGCGTGCGAGGCGTGCTGCAGTGGTCGCGGTGAGATTGCAGCAACGCTGGCGGCCAACGGCTTGGGGGCCTGCGGCTGGTGTTGAGAGCGTTCACGCCGTCTGCTGGAGAGCAAGCGAGTGCGGGCGGGCCGTGTGGGAAGGTGGGAGCTGTCTGAAGCCACTGGCCGCTTCGGGCAACAAGCAATGCTGCCGCTGCTGGCGGCGATGATGGCGAGGGCGGAGCGCGTCGCCCACGGCGCTGCGTCGGCGGAGCTGCGAGGGAGGGGGGCAGCGGACGCTCGTCGACGACGGTGCTGGCAGTGGGCGGAAGAAACAGGCAGCATGG